TGACTGTAGCTAGTGGCTTGGGCCTTTTCTCAAAACCTATACTAATCAAGTATCATGTCAGTGTCTAATAATCTTTCCCTCCTGCTTCCTTGTGATGCAATATACATACACAAAAAAAGGGATATGAGTTTGGGATTGCCTAGAATTCCTTAGAGAGCACCAAAGTGCTATGCCAGCTCAGGCCAGGTAGCACTGTGGCCTGGTCAGTAGTCACTAACAAACCGCTGGTGCGTTGTCTTATTGCCTTCATATACATCCTTAAAATTCTTGATTTATGGTGGTTGGTGGTGGGGATGGCCTATTATGGTGCATGGGCTACAAATGACATACCAGAAACATGGCAACCGATTCATCAGCGTTCCATCCAGCTAGACGACCCTCGGTCGCATTTATATATTTTTCAAGACCGGATATCAGGGTTGAATCACAGGAGATACCAAAATGAAAATAAAAGCTGCTCCAAATCAAGTGCGCAATGAAGTTTCATGAGTTAGTAGATCCCTCTCTTGTGGCAGTGATATATGCATCAAAAGTTTTGATCTCGTAATGAACACTAGGATAACACAAGCAGGTCGATCAATCCATGGCTAAAAAGGTACTTTTTCTCCCTACTGATACAATATCGGAGTAAGTTAATTCGGCTGATCTCCTGACGAGGTAATGAGATATGCTCGCATATGTAGTCCAGGAATTCATCTGCTCCTGACTCCTGTCACGTGCTACAAAAGATTGTAGACTTGAGTGATCTGATTCTGACTTCATGGCTTTGCATGAATTTGTTCAGAAGCTGCATGAAAGGTTGATTAGAGGAAAATAAATTCCTTTTTTTGAGGCTGCGTAGGCATGGTTGTCTATTGCTTAAAAAATCAAACAATGATTTTGACTGACATGCCATAGGAGACAAGAGACAACAACTATAATAAATTCTAAACGACAAAAGAAGGAAGCCCCTAGATTCAGGGTCTCTTTAGCACAGCTCCGGGCTTCTTGCGGCTCTAAACATAGCGTACCAAAAAAACGTCTAAAAATGGCTTCTTTCAAGGAGCTGGAGGAGCTGAAGCCGCAAAAATATGACTTCTCTTGGCTCCTTACAAATTTGATATAAGCCAAAATGGTTTTTGCTAAATATTTTCTAAAATGGCTTCAAATTGACTGGTGAGATCTCAGGTTCACAGTTTATACTTTTATATATAGCTATGCTGCTGGGACTGGGAGATGAAATTGAGCGGTGAGGTCACCCTTTTATTTTTGCAGAAAAAATGTTGAGGCAGGCATGCAACGCAACGCAACGCAAATGGATAATAAAGCGAAGCAAAGATGAAAGGACGAAGAGGTGGAAAGAAAGGTGGGTGAGCACGTACCGGGCGTGAGATTGGCAGGAGGTGCGGTTGCGGCGCTCGCTTGCTCTCAGTCTCAGGGCACGTTTAGATCCGAAAATTTTTGGTTTTTCGGCATGGTAGTACTTTCGTTTGTATTTGGTAATTAGTGTTTAATTATGGACTAATTATGTTTGAAAGTTTTGTCTCGCGATTTCTCATTCAACTATGTAATTAGTTTTTTTTCGTCTATATTTAGTACTCTATGCATGTGCCGTAAGATTCGATGTGACACTTACTGCACAAAAATTTTTGGTTTTTAGAGGAAACTAAACGAGGCCTCAGTAGTACTACTATTCACCTGCCTGCGCCTGGCCCTGCTCCATCTGCCTCGCCCGCCCGTGACCTGGATTGCACTGCGTGTACGTATACGACACGTGTTGTGTGAGGCTTGACCGGGTCGGGTGAAGGTGAATGATTCCCTTCCTTCAGCGCGTGTTTAGTTATAGGAATTTGAAATTTAGGGCAACTATAATATGTTTATTTTTATTTGGTAATTAGTGTTTAAATATGAACTAATTAGGTTTAAAACGTTCGTCTCGTAATTTTCTACCAAACTGTGCAATTAGTTTTTTTTTCTACATTTAATGCTTCATGTATAGGCCGCAAACATTCAATGTGGCAGGTACCGTAGCACTTTTTAGGATTTTGAGGTGGAACTAAACAAGGGCTCAATTTTCCTTGCACAATTGCACTTGCACTGCATTTCTCTTTGTGCCAGGTGCCAGCATTGCCAATTTGCATTCAGCTCATGTTTAGTTACCAGCCAAATTCTTAAAAAGTGTTGTAGTATCCATCACATCGAATCTTGCGATACGTATATGGAGCATTAAATGTAGACGAAAAAAAATTAATTGCACAGTTTGGTTGAAAATCGCGAGACGAACGTTTTGAGCTTAATTAGTCCATGATTGAACACTAATTACCAAATAAAAACGAAAGTGTTACAGTAGTCAAATCCCCAAATTTCACCGACAGCCTCATTCGTTCCTTCCTCCTTCAGGCCGTCTGCTGCTGCATTCACTCAAGATTGTAGAGGAGAACAAATCCAATGGACTGGAGGAGATGGATGGTCGATCGCATTCATGTCATGAAGATGATGATGGAGCTGCTTCATTACGATGCATGCATGCATGATTTCCTGCGTGGCTGCATGCACTGTCCATGCTTTCTCTCTCTTAATAAATACCCGAGGTACGCAAGGCACCTCTAGCATCGATTTCTTTTATTGGTAATGACTGCTTCTGGCTTGTGCTGGAGTATAACAAGAAAGAAAATACAAATATATAATCTGGATGCACGCGTTGCTCCTAGACAGTGGTGATTGGTGTCGAAACATAGGCCAACCTGCACCGCTAGGACTGGGACTCTGGGAGATGAATGAAATCACAATCACACTGCGTGCTGCGACTGTGGTCTGTTTGAAGCACAAACCAGGGCTGCTGGTCCACTGCTAGCCCACTCACACAGTCACACTCCTACTCCTACCAGTCATCCTAGTAGTCACAGCAACGGAGGAGACGACGGGTCTAGTCCTGTAGCTACTTTTTTAGGGGCCCACTCCCACTGCCTCTGCCTGTAAGGAACACTGGTGCACCACAGTCCACAGGACAGAGGACCCGGATCCGGAGTAGCCTTCCGGTCCAAGCTCCCTGTCTATCTAATCTAATCATTGAAGCCTGGTCTTCGGTTCTTGATTGCCATGGACCTGTCGAATCGTCCTGTCAGTGTTGCTTTGTCATTTAGGACGCTTGCCAGAGTCGATGGTAAAAAACACATGTACACACTTGCAGTTGTTGCATAGGCAGGTGACAGAGCGCACCTGTTGTTAATGCTTGTGTTAAGTCCTTTGAGTAAGATTTACACCATTTTTTTCTCAATTGTTATGTGATGTCCTTAAAAAAAAGATTTACACCATTTATTTAAGGAAATGAACTACAAGTTTTAGTTTTACAAATATTCTTTTTTCTTATATCCCCAAGGCAGATATTTCTGAGGTGTAGGTAGATTTTTTTCCCCCCACGGTTCACACACACATCGATAGCACGTCATTACTCTGCTCTACTCTCTACTCTACCCAGTCAAGGCAGAATGCATTTCATAGCAAAAAAAAAAAAGGCAGAGTGTATTTCTGCACTATTGCGGCCTGTATATTACTCAATCAAAAGTAAACACTTGAAAATACCCAGAGTTAAGTATATATTATATTATTATATATCTCCTGACCAAACAACATAATACTCCTCCAACCAACCCAGGTACCCAACCAAGACCACCAGAGAAGAAATTGAAGACAGCAACACAGCAGGCCCACACAAGAAGGGAAGCTCGTTGTCTCTGTGCACTCCCTGCTGCTTAAATAGATCCTCTTGGCGTTTCCCCCTGTTCTCTCCACATCAATCACTCGCATTCTGCTCCGCTCCGATCCACTGAAAGAAACAACAGGGAGGGAGGGTCCTGCTCTACTTCCCCTAGCTGCTGCATGTGTTCTTCCCCAAGGTGATCACAAGCGGCCTTCTGCTTCTTCCTCCACGAGCATGCTCCCTCTAGTTTCCTTGCCCTCTCCTTTCCCAGTTGCTTTCCTCCCCTCCGCTCTGTCGTCCTTCTCCCCGGAGAATCACTCATGTGTTCTTCCTCCCCTCTACTTCCTGTGTTTCACCCGTCTTTTCTTCTCGTCTTCTGTGTTTCTCCATGTGTTTTGGTGTTGATATACAACAGGATGCCCAATGCGTTTAGCCGTTTACTTCTCTTGTCTTTTCCCTTCGTTTCTACGTAGTTTCCCATAGTGTGTATGTTTTTGGTCCCATGGCTGCGCGTCGCAAATCTTTGCATTGTAATGTGGATCTGTAAGGTTTATGTTGGGGCCAGAAGCTGAGGCCTTTAGCTTACAACATTCAATCTTATCGGATATTTCACTGTAGAAGATGTCACACTTGATTCCTTCCTCTCCTGTGCATATTTTGTTGGGTAAGCATGCGGCAATGCTCTGTAGTTTTTGTTCTGTAGGAAAGATACGATTTTTTGACACAGTTTCTGGGTGGGTGTAATGAAACTATTTTCTCTGATCTATGATAATTTTTGTTTGATCTATTTAGCATGCATCTGGACTGTAAAATAGTGTGCTTCTTGATTAGTGGGCCTTAGTTTGTTTTGGAGCTGTTTCCAACTCCAGAAACGGTGTTTGAGTTTCCATGTCTGCGCCTAGTATTGTCTTCTTCCCTTCAGAGTTCAGTCTTCTCATGCCTAGCTTCACTACGTACTGTTTTCTAATACTGTAGTAATCTATCTTGTTTCAGTTGCTCTAGATGGTTTAGTAAGCTCATTAGGTTATTTTTTGTTTAGTTTTGTATAGCCTCGATCTATAAATCCTTGCAAGAAAAATCCTTTCTTGTCTAGGTTCATTGAATTGTTCATGATAGCTTAGCCACTTTATATCCCTCATGTGCTACCCACAGATAAAGCTGAGTGACTGTGTTCAACACTAACAATCCAAGTTTTTATATGGACATCCTTAACTTGTTTAAGTGTGCATTTTTCACAGTGATGATCAAATTCTAAAAACTGGACTTTCCTCTCTTGGCAGCACATTGAGTTTGTCAGCCTCACTGTTTCACTGCCCACGGCATGGGATCTTGGAGACCGAAACTGCCTGGGTTTGGCGAGGGCTCACAGGCTGCTGAGCCCGGTGGTGGTGGGAGAGGTCCTGGAAGAGGTTTCCGTGGCCGCGGTGGCTCCTACCATCAACAACTCCCACAAGGGGGTCGTGGAACTGGCTACTACCAGCATGGACAGGGTTCCATGTTACAACCTCGCGGAGGGATGATGTCGCAGAGGTGGCAGCCTGCTGGCCCTGCTGAAGGATATCTGGGCCAAGGTCAGGCTTACAGGGAAGTGCAGCCACCACACTACTATGGTGGTGGTAGAGGTGGACGTGGGGCAGGCCCGTCCGCCATAGCTCCCGAGCTGCGCCAAGCAATGGAAACTTCACATGAACCTGATAACATCTCACCAGAAACAGGCTCTCCGGATCTGTCACCAAGAGCTTCTACTGTAGAAGTTACGGATCAGCTGAAAGATTTGTCTGTACAAGACGAATCAAACATGTGCCAAGACATTGTGCAAGCATTTCCAGTGTCCAGCAATGCATATAAGTTTCCTCACCGCCCAGGAAGTGGAAGTATTGGCACCAGGTGTTTGGTGAAGGCAAATCACTTCTTTGCTGAATTACCTGACAAGGATCTTCATCAGTATGATGTACGTTGGTCTATCGCTTTCAACATTCTCTTGAATCTTTATAACTGAGTTTTAATCATGTGGTGTATCCTATCAGGTTTCAATCACCCCGGAAGTTACATCGCGAATTGTGAACCGCTCTGTCATGGAAGAGCTGGTGAAGCTACACAAGATGTCATACTTGGGAGGGCGTCTTCCAGCCTATGATGGTAGAAAAAGCCTATACACGGCTGGTCCACTGCCATTCACTTCAAAAGAATTTCACATCACTCTACTTGAGGAAGATGATGGTTCTGGAGTCGAGAGGTATCCTTGAGCCACTATTGTCAATGTTTTCTCGACCTAGAAAAGAGCATATTTGTTTGACATTTCCTATTCTCTTTTCTATGTCTAGGCGTAAGAAAACATACAAGGTGGTGATTAAATTTGCTGCAAGGGCTGATCTCCGTCGTCTGGACCAATTTTTAGCTGGAAGGCAGGCAGAGGCTCCTCAAGAAGCCTTGCAAGTTCTTGATATTGTTCTGCGGGAGCTGCCAACAACAAGGTAATTAAATTAGCCTCTAGGTTTCAGATAATAGGATACATTAGTGTGAATCTTACAGTAATGATTTCACTCTTGTTTTGAAGATATGCAATATTTGGGCGATCATTTTTCTCTCCTGACCTGGGGAGGAGGCGGTCCCTTGGTGAGGGAATAGAATGCTGGCGTGGGTTTTACCAGAGCATTCGGCCTACTCAAATGGGCCTGTCATTGAATATTGGTAAAGCTCTGTCCCTCATGGATATATGTATGAGATACATGATTAAACCAGGGTCCTCTTTGTTGAAGTGTATAAGTGGATTGCCTACCTCTTCCCAAAAGCTTAGGTTGAACTGGTTGGTGCGTGCAACTCCGCCCCCTTTATTTCCACGTTTGCGCCTTTGTCTCTGGTTGCATGTGGGCTCACGTTTGCGCCTTCTTCTCTGGTTGCACGTGAGTGGGGGGGTGTTGAAGTGTATAAGTGGATTGTTTACCTCTTCCCAAAAGCTTAAAGCTTTTGGGTTGAACTGGTTGGTGCGTGCAACTTAACACTCTTGTTGTTACGCTTTACTATGTCCGTCCAATACCATATATAATTTGGGTGATGACAAGCAACTGCTTAATTCCATGAGCAAGCTCCTGTTAGGATCACATCTCCGATGGCTGCAATACTGTCTATTAGGCACTTTTACTTAGGACTAACTTAATATTCATGAATCATCAAGTGCCTCACAGCTAAATCATAGACTGGTAGGAATGGTCATTTTCTCTTGATGAAAAAAGCCACAGCAAACATTCCATCGAATAAGATTGCAGATGATTTGGTAATGCATTTTCAAGTTGCAGTCAGTATCAGTCATGACTTAAGGTTCTTATATAACTTTTTTGCAAAGCATAAACTGAGGCATGTATCATCCTTTGAGTTGGTCTTTCTTTGAAGTTCACAAGATGGGGTTCTGTTATGTTGAACTTTTCTTATTCAGTTCTTTTTTTTGTGCTGCTAAATTAGCAGATTATTGAGTTCTTATCACTCAATTTACCTGTTAACCCTTTTCTGTCTTTTCAGATATGTCGGCAACAGCTTTCTTTGAGCCATTACCTGTGATAGATTTTGTTGCACAGCTTTTAAACACCGACATCCACTCAAGGCCTCTCTCAGACGCTGAACGTGTCAAGGTACGCTAGTAGACATTTCACGTTCATATTTTATTGGTTGGTTAGTTCTCAAATGGAACTTGGTACCTTTCTTTTGTAAGGCAGAGTGCTAAATTCATCAAACAACAAATGTCTAGCACACTGCTTCTTGGAAATAGACTATTATTTGTCACATATGTTCCCACTTTCCAGTTCTTAATATTGGTCTCAGCAGTTTCATTTTGTCTTACATATCTGAGATGGCAACTTTTGCTTTTTGTATGTCACTTTACTTAATATTTTGATGACTAATTTATGTGTTCTTGTGCACAATTTCAGATAAAGAAGGCCTTAAGAGGAGTGAAGGTGGAAGTTACCCACCGTGGTAACATGCGACGGAAGTATCGAATAGCTGGTTTAACATCTCTGGCAACTCGGGAGTTAACGTATGGCCATTCCTTGTTCTTCATGCACTCCCGTGTTTACATTTTTCCTCTTTGGATAATTTATTCAGAGGAAAAAAAATCTTGGGATAATATTTCAATTTGCTAAAAGAAGCTGATGTTATTTGCCACAGTTTTCCTGTTGATCAAGGCGGCACATTGAAGTCGGTTGTACAATATTTTCAAGAGACCTATGGCTTTGCCATCCAGCACACCTACCTGCCCTGTCTGCAAGTTGGCAATCAGCAGCACCCAAATTACCTTCCAATGGAGGTAAGCTTAATGGCTATAGCTGCTGATCTTGCTCTTTTCTAGCAAAGCTCTACACTTTGACTTATCCCTGTCTAACCTTTGATAGCAAAACCTGTGTTTCTAATGTGTGCTTAAAAATTTGAGTTTACCCAGGTCTGCAAAATAGTAGAGGGACAGAGGTACTCTAAGAGATTAAACCAGGGTCAGATAAGAGCTCTTTTAGAGGAGACATGCCAGCGCCCACATGATCGGGAGCGTGACATTATTCAGGTAATATGTTTCTTCCCCTTGTTTCAGTTCTACTTGGGTTCTCCTTTCCTTCGTGACTTCATATGCTTATGCAAATGAAAACCTCATTTTATGTGCCTACAGATGGTGAATCATAACTCTTACCATGAGGATCCTTATGCTAAAGAGTTTGGCATTAAGATCAGTGAGCGTTTGGCTTCAATTGAGGCACGGATTTTACCTGCTCCTCGGGTAGGTTGAGACCCACTCATATGTTTCTTTTAGCAAAAACAGTAAGGGAAGCCCCTGCTGGATGTATATATAAAATATAGAGAAAAAGATCAATATAAAGGGCAAGAGGTCCAAGGTCGCTCCACTCTTGTTGCAGCAGTGGCTTTTGAAATATGTTTTATTGTTCGTATCACCCTTCTGTGTCATAATTAACATAACTCCTGTTTTATAAATTGAGGCAACTCTTGTTTGTGGGTTTGATAACTAACATCAGTCATATTTCCTTGCAACATATTCAACATTTTATATTGTACTTATGATGCAGCTAAAGTATAATGAAACTGGCAGAGAGAAGGACTGCTTGCCTAGAGTTGGGCAGTGGAATATGATGAACAAGGTACTAAACATTTTTCTGAATAGTATTTTGTATTTTGTAAAAATGTTTATAATCAAATAGTTAAAAATATTGGCTATATCTATATGAGTAAATGGTATGCATAAGTTATTCTGTTCAGAAACATGAATTTTTTTTAAGATGCCGTCCACTTGATCAATTTCTCTTCACAGCGCACTATGACTAGAGTTTTGCTGGGCATTTATGTTCAGATAATTGTTTTTCCAGCTATTGATCCTCCAGTCGAATTTTTGGCTTGTGTTAAAATGTAGTTCAATCAGTAAAACCACTGTATTAATTCCACTGTGTTTTTGCCTAACTATTAGTAGTAGCTTTATACTTTGCTAATAAGACACCTATGTATGTACTATGCCTCAAGATTTACCACTTAGTTTCGTTTTGCCTTATCTAGAAAATGGTAAATGGTGGTAGAGTGAGGAGCTGGATCTGTGTCAATTTTGCTCGAAACGTGCAAGAGAGCGTTGCTGTTGGATTCTGTCGTGAACTTGCTCGCATGTGCCAAGCCTCGGGAATGGCAAGTATCTCTTAAAACAATTTCTGAAATGATAAGTATCCACTCCATCTACTGGTTTATGGAAGTAACAACATAAGGTGGCTCTGTAGGACTTTGCCTTGGAGACTGTTCTTCCGCCTATATATGCACATCCTGATAAAGTGGAGAGAGCTCTGAAAGCCAGGTTCCATGATGCAATGAACATGCTCGGACCACAGCGCAGAGAACTCGATTTGCTTATTGGAATACTTCCTGATAACAACGGTTCTCTTTATGGTACATGAACTTAAAACCCTGTGTGGCTCTTATATTTATTCCTGCTGCCGTGCTCATGATTGGTGTTAAAGCTCTGTGTTGGTCTCAGGTGATTTGAAGCGTATCTGTGAAATTGACCTTGGATTAGTTTCACAGTGCTGCTGTGCAAAGCAAGTTTTTAAGATGAACAAACAGATACTGGCAAATCTCGCTCTGAAGATAAATGTCAAGGTTGGTTTTCTATCGACTATGCTTTTGTCTGTCTTGCATTTTTTTCAGTTGTCGAGTCCGAAAAGAAAATTTTATTTGCTTTCAAAGGTTGGAGGAAGGAACACAGTGCTGGCTGATGCAGTGTCAAGACGCATTCCTTTGGTGACTGACAGGCCTACCATCATATTTGGTGCTGATGTGACCCATCCTCATCCTGGTGAAGATAGCAGCCCTTCCATTGCTGCTGTAAGTTGAACTACTGGACTCATGTTTTGTGACTGTTCGTTCGCACATACACTGACAGTTGTTTCATTGTTTGTATAACCCTGCAGGTTGTGGCTTCCCAAGATTGGCCTGAGGTGACAAAGTATGCTGGTTTAGTTTCTGCTCAATCTCATAGGCAAGAGTTAATAGAGGATCTGTATAAGGTCACACATGATCCTCAGAAAGGAACCATTTGTGGTGGCATGATCAGGTATGCCAGCAAGGCCCCTCTCCTTTTGTCCTTTTTACCTAGAGCACAAGTAATACATGCTGAGCTCCACATTTGCAGGGAGCTTCTTATATCCTTCAAAAGATCAACTGGTCAAAAGCCTCAGAGGATACTATTCTACAGGTGTGTGCGTGTGATTTCTTACAAGACTTTGCATTTGAACTGCTGTAACTGGCTAGTTACTCGAAGCGTTGGCCAATTAATGTGGTTACCTTTGACAGGGATGGTGTGAGTGAAGGGCAGTTCTACCAAGTTCTACTGCATGAACTGGATGCAATCCGAAAGGTAACTTTCTTCTTTCCTTTTCCTTTTGGAGACACAGATAGGGTTGTTGCAGCTTGCAAGTTATAGTTGATGATGTTAATGTGTGCCTTAGGCGTGTGCATCGCTGGAAGCAAATTACCAACCACAGGTGACTTTCATCGTGGTCCAGAAACGGCACCACACGAGGTTGTTCGCACACAACCACAATGATCAGAATTCAGTCGACAGGAGTGGGAACATACTTCCTGGTGGGTATTAATTCTTGTTTTCGAAATGAAAATGATATACATGCTGCTGCAGTATTTTGGAAACTTAACTAGAGAACCCTTTGGGCTTTGTTTTGGTTTGGGTCAAATTGCAGGTACTGTTGTGGACTCGAAGATCTGCCACCCCACAGAGTTTGACTTCTTCCTGTGCAGCCATGCTGGCATCAAGGGCACGAGCCGTCCTGCTCACTACCATGTCTTATGGGATGAAAACAACTTCACAGCTGATGCATTGCAGACCCTTACCAACAACCTTTGCTACACGTAAGCTTCTCTGCCTGGCCACTCTTATACTTCCTATACAGTTCATCTATCTCAACTGTGTCTCAGCTGCTTAAAGAGGTGCGAGTCCCTGATCTGTGTACTAATAACTTGTCAAATTGCTGGTGCAGTTACGCGAGGTGCACACGTTCTGTATCCATTGGTAAGTTGTCTCGGTTTTTCTGAAAGGGAGTTGAATTAATCAGAGTTATGCATTACTGAATTGATGGGGGAGCAACAAATAAACCAAAATGCATATATGCCTTGCAGTCCCACCAGCCTACTACGCTCATCTGGCTGCATTCCGCGCCCGGTTCTACATGGAGCCTGACAGCTCAGACAGTGGATCACTGGCGAGTGGCGCCCGTGGAGGCGGAGCGCCGTCCAACTCGTCGACATCCCGCAGTACCCGTGCCGCCAACGCCGGAGTTGTTAGGCCCCTTCCCGCGCTCAAGGACAGTGTCAAGAACGTCATGTTCTACTGCTGATGAACCGGAGCCTGTGTCTACAAGCAGTAGAGGCGATGCTTTGATTGCATGACTCCTAACAAGATAAGCAGGCAGCCTGCCTGAAATTTGATTTGCTTGGTGTTGTAGTTTGTTTGGTCAGTAATAATCTGCTTGCTATTAGCAAACCGTGTTCAAAGACGCTGTGTCTCAGTGCATTTGCTTAGTGTTTGTTTGAAGAAGTCCGGCCAGAGCGGATCTGCCCTAGGCCCTGCTTGTACTGGAGGGATCCCATATGTTATTTTGAGACTATTATGTTTCGGATCATATCATTTTCCTCTTGTGATGTGCCATTCACATATTTCAGAACGTCCTTTTCGAACTGTGGCTTCTGGGTTGTAGTTGTCAGTTTGTGACTTGTATTTGGATTTTCAAAATTTGCTTGCTATCTGGGGTGCAGCACATTATTTTGACACAGCATTCTCAATCCTTCTCATATATTATTATCAACTGTAACCATGTACACTTTCACTCTCTTTACACCATCCATCTCTCCAATCAATAGTCAACAAATGAAAACCACACATGCATACACAACAATCACTTGACAATATACACTGATCTGGTCCGGTATCAATGGAATGAATATGTGCAGCCGCCAGAACCTTGGCTTCAGGAGATCATGCATATCCATCACATCTCTTTGGCTCTATTGTTGAGAAGTAGAAGACTTCTGCCCCATCAAGCTGGTCATGATCCTGACAACAAAACAAGGAGCAGGCATTGAAGAATCAGTAAGCAGCGTACACTTGTCTAATTATCGCTAGGTTGGCAAGAAGCCTCACCTCTGAATCCTAGTCTGTGGCTTTCTGCAGCAACCAGATTTGGAATTGTTAAACAACAAATTGGTCAGTCAGTTGCTTCCCCGGTCTCTCTTCAGTAAAGTTCTTAAGAGTGGGCACACTTGCCTTTCTTTCGGCCTCGTTACTGTCATTGTACTAGGCCCTGCGCCTGCTGGGGCTTGCGGAGGATGTTCAAACAACCTAGGGACAGTCTTTGCCTGCATGGATGATATACAACATCATTCATCAGACATCGTTTTACCGCAACCTTGATGATTGCAGCTGTTGCGTCAGATAACCAAATTCATTATCAACTCACCAGATTCCTGAACTGAAGATTGTAGAACATCTGCAGGTAGCGCTGTTTGGCTACTCTCTCCTCCTTGTTCAGAGTCTTCCAGAAGCCATACGTTGAACCCATATTCAGGACTTTAGTTGCATAAATCTTCCATGTGTAGCTGCCGAGCAAACAACATATGTTTAGCTTTCCTTTCTCATCAAGAGGTAAGGTCAATCATGTTATGGTATGGCACCTACCATTCGTAGATGCGCTGGAGCCCAGCAGTGGACACCTTGTTCCAATAGCTTGGGTCTTCCTGGCACTTTTGGAAGAAATCGGCAATCTTGTTGCTAGCCTCCCTGCCATTCATTGGGTTTATGTGGAAACCGGAGACACCGTCCACAATGATCTCCGCTGGCCCTCCCTGATTTGTCGCAAAGGTTGTCAATCCGCAGTTCATCGCCTCAATGACCGTCAGCCCGAATGCTTCATAAAGTGCAGGCTGAAACCACAGCAGGCATTGCATTTTACGGTTAGAGTTGAGTTCCATTCTCTGCAACTTTCAGAAAAAAATTCTCATGATCAAACAGCTTAGAAGCCGGTCATTGCATACCTGAACAAATGCACCCTTTGTATCTGCAATGCAACGGTAGAGCTCACCATTGCGGACACGATCAGTCTGTGCCTTGATCCAGCGAATCTGTCCTTTCAGCTGATACTTGTCAATCAGACTATGCATCTTGTTGATTTCTTCAATCTCTTCCCGGTCCTTGGACTGCGATGCTTCCAGCAGGCCCGCAACGACGACAAGGTTTACCAGGTCCCTCAGTCTCTTGTTCTGGCCATACCACTCCACTAGTCCAGTGATGTTCTTCACCTTGTCCAGCCTTGCCATCGAGAAGATGATTGGCTTGTTTCTGTCTGCCAGATACCCTCTGATTTGATGGCATCAAAGCAGTTAGCAAACTTGTCCTATGAATAAGAGTCTGTGTGTGTTTTTCATGAAAGGAAAAACTTACATGTGTTCATTGGTGTCCTGCTTGCTGTAGAGCAACTCCTCAATCTGTGGGTGCAAATCTGTCAGCCGCTTCTGCTTCTGTGTGAAGGGGAAGTAGATGGACTGGTCTGCACCGGGTGCGGCAATGTTGAACTTTGGATCAAAGACATTGATGCCTGTGGCGTAGCGACAGAGCCCCGGCATTGTGAATGCGTAGTGGTGCTCATATTGGCCAGGCTTCTCTTTGCTGCATCACATGTTCATGCATGTTTTAGGCCTCTAGGATTAAGTAGTTGTTACTTGTCATTGTACTGAAGTTACAGGTAGATACATTCTACGAACCTTCCAGCAATTTCTTGGTATGTGCTAGTGATGATAAAGTCACTAGTGTTCATGGCAATCATATCTGCAGTGAATTGGCAGGAGAAATGGTACTTCTGGTCCAGATCTCTCCACTTGACATCTGAATCTTCATACTTTGTCTTCTCTAGAGCGTGCGCGATTGTCCCCTGTCAATAAGATCATTTTCTTTGTCATACCAAATTTTTGTTGGTAGCAAAAAAATAATCTTTCAAGACTCTACTTGATGACCAATAATTTCACCTGAGTGACCCCTAGCTTGCTTGACATGAGAGATGCCACTAAGTTGCCATCGGTATAGTTGCCGATGATCAGGTCTGGCTTGCCCTCCAAAATGTCAAGAATTTTGGCACACGAATCCTGAAATTACCACGGTGACATGGTGAGCAGAGCAAGCCACCTATTCAAATATTATATCCCACATATATAGGAGTAAGAAGTGATAGTTGGCAAACCTGGGCATATCTCTCTAGGTAAGGGTAGATGTCAAACCGGGACACCCACTGGCGCAACTCCTTGCCGTCTTCAGTCTTGAATGGCACACGAAGTATGTGGGAATGTTTTGTGTTTTCAACTGGCTCGAGCTCCACATTGCATTTTGTACCCTTGGCATCTGGTATCAGCCTAGTCAGCTGCATGAACAAAATTAACAGCCATTAGGGCATTTGATCTACATATATAAAGTGAGCACTGAGCAGATATGAATCACGAATGGCCAAGATCATGACGTAGTTAACTTTACCACAAGAATCTTTGGTGTCACGTTCAGACCCTGCAGCTTGATTCTTTGCAGCAACTCCTCTTCAAGGGCCCTGACTTGGTCCAGGATGTAGACCACCTGGCCACCGGTGTCTGGCAAGCCAAGAACCTTCTCTTGGCCAAAGTAGCCGTGGATGGAGAAGATGACTATGTTGAATGTGGATGGAACTCTGCTGAAGAACTTCTCCATGTTGATAGGGTCCGGCGCTTGTAGCACTTCAGAGAGGCAATTCAGCGTCTCTTTGCACCTTTCAGCATTTTCACCCCACCCTTTCTCCAATCCCCACTCTTGAAACCTGAAAACAGCGTTTTGTTCAGAAACCTTAGGTATAATGCATATCTGGTATCTGCATAAACAGTTTTTATCTCCTTGAGATAGTAAGTGTATCACCTCTGTTCAAACTTCAGGAATGGCGTGTATCTTGGTAACCCGCTGACAAATACCTCTGCAAGTAGCAGCGCTGTCTGAAGCTTGTTCACTGTATCGATGGTATCGTTAACCATCAGCTTCTGCATGTTCATCAGATGATCAGGATATAGTTAGGTTCGCTCGGTTGCTTATTTTTAAACTTCTGTCAATATATGCAACATGGATAGGTGACTAGATTGCCATTGCCTTACCTCGCCACGGTAGTTTAGCGAACGCAAATAGTCCAGCAACGGTTTCATGCTAGTTTCAGGCTTGTCGCCCAGCTTCGAAGACATGAATTTGGACACAAACTGGAGCCCGTTTCCTATGGACGATGGCAGTGTCAGATGGGGTGTTGAGAGGTCCAGAGCACCGAAATCGACTTCCAGTGAGTTGTCGTCCTTGGCCCTGAAAGTGGTGAGATAAGAACACATACATTTTTCAGTTGGCATCAACACATCTGTGGTAAGTGTAAAGGCTCCTAGTAGTATTTGATTGGTGAAGAATGCAGACCAGTTCTCATCATATAATGTCTCCTTGAACTTGAGGTACTCAGACGGTGTGATTCCTTCGACTGACAGATCATCAGAATGAACTTTGACATACTCCCAGATGCCAGGATTCATCCTGACAGCAAATGCAACATAAGGTGGTAGCACCACTGCTTCCTGCAGAGATAAGAGTTATGTGAGTTTTGTTAATACAGGTTTAATGTTTGCTGCAAAAGATGTTAAGGTGAGATGAGATCACCTGCGTGGAACAAATAATGTAACCTAGGAAGCCTTCAACAAGCTTTTCCTTCTCGACTTTGTCATCCAGGGATTTCTCCAGCTCCTCTATGAGCTGCTGGTTCTTCAAGAGCCTCTTTCCCTTGGAAACATACCTGACATATTATTGTTTTTAGAACTGCAAATGAGAACCCTGTGAATTCATAGATGATGCCTACTAAGTTAAGTTTACCTCTGGAAGCATTTCTTCATCTGGTACCGGCTCTGCCTTAGCGCATCGGGCATGCTTTCCGCGATGCTGTCTGCCCTCTTGAAACTCAGCTTGGAGGCCATGGTGGCTTGGAAAGAAACAAGGTGGAGAAGAATGTTATGGTTTCTGTATGGAGGAAAAAGAATGCTGTGAAGCTGTGACTAGCTGGGTGTCCATGGGCAACAATTTATAGAAGGAAGGGAGCATGATGAAACAAAACTTTGGCCTATTGGCAGAGTTTTCTTTGTGTGGACGCCAGCTGGCAAATGAAATGGGAGATGGCGCACAGGGGAGAAAGCACATTGATTTGCTTGGGAGAAGTTATGCTGAAGAAACATGCAAGGCAAGAAAGGCATGATTGAACACCAATGAACGGCGTATCCCTGCAAGATTCCTTATTCCTTGGATGGATTTCTTAGCATGACTTTTCCATTTGAATATACGACACTAAAAACGGAAAGGGACTTGAGTTGTTTAAGATTACAAGAAATTAGAGTGCAGATTAATCTCCTTGGAACACTTAACAGTCAAAGATGTCAGATTTGTATAACTTACTACATATGGCAACGTACTCATCCTGAATCCTGATCACAACACAGATCTCATGGTTAATACTCCGGGCAACGCTCTGATTTGATTCCAGATTTTCAGTAGCTGGATTCAAGATTGGGGCGGATTTCAATTGAACCTGACCTATAGGAGTGCATTTTGACGCACATTTGGCTAAAGTTCCAGTCGCAGCTGCCATGCTGTAACTTCAAGAATTTTAATCCAACTTTCTGCAGATTATGGACGCAATAATTTTGCTTCTGATTTTTTTTCACTGTAGCTTACAGAGATATCAATTACGAAGCGTGTTGTCTTGTATATTCTGCTAGCAGCATTTACATTGACTAGTTAACTGTAAAACACAAGTATCATTTTTTGAGCCAGGAAAAAAGGCTGTGTATTTAACTGCCAATACTTTGCACTCCAAAGTCAAAATCCATCAAACCCAATGTTTACAATTTACAGACCATCATAACCAGGAAACAGAAAAGAATCATACATATTGAGTCCTGGTGAAGGATACCCATATTCAGAGGTAACGAAAACGTGAGCATCTCCATTGATCCACCGGAGAACGAGTGCATATACCGGTAGAGTGATAAAAAGAGAAATCACGCAAAACAGAGGAAAACTCCTGAATCAATCGTGAACAAAATACAAGCTCTCAATATAAACACAAACTCCCGGAACAAAGGACAACGACAACTGAAACGCGTGGCTGACCCAAAACAAACCAGTGTCTGCAAGATAAACGAACACAAGCACGTGTAAGCTGTTGTTATTACCATAAACACATAATGTGATCATTTATACAGGATGAGAATATTGTGAAGGGTGTAAGGAACATACCACGCCAAGATTTTCTGAATGGCTTCATTCTTCTGACTGTGCATTAGTTTCGTAAATGCGACGACTCTTGTTATACCGAAAATACCTCTTGCCATCACAGCTTATGATGCGCACCTCAGGGACCTGCTGCACGAGGTGCCAGTTCTTGCCACTGTTGAGGCAGCTCCTGAGCAATGACAGACCGCACTGCAACTCGAACCGTCTCAGGCCTTTGCACTTTTGAATCAGTAGCTCCAGCCACCGTGGGAAGGCAATGCTCCAGAAAATTATTAGCTCTTGAAATAAAATGTCTCGTGGACGGAGGAAACACAAGTCTGAGGCGCTGCAGCAAGCATCAAGACCTGCCACATGCTTCAGCTTTGAGCAGTCATCAATAATGAGGGAATGAAGCATGGGCAGGTTGGAGATCCTCTGGAGCACCTTGTTATCTTTGAGATGGAGCTCATCAGATAGTTTTGGCAGGTCCTTGATTTCAGTTAGGCTATGTGCACCTCCACATGAAGTTCACACAGCGCTACATGCTTCAGGCCTTCTGGTAGAGCTTTCAGTTTAGGGCACCACTGTATCTGCAGTGACTTCAAACAAGGAAACAGTACCTGGTTCTCCTCCACAGTTAAATACCACTCTTCAAGTTTCTTCATGTTTCTGAGCTTTAAAACCTCAAGCTTGGGAAATGAAGTGGCTGGTGAAAGTACAGTGGTCCCAAGGAATTCTGAACCAATGGTGATGACTGAGTCCGCATTTGAGATTTGCAGGGACTGGAGTTGACTCAGGAGGCCAAGTGAAGGCAGTTTAGTGCATGCCATGCAGTTTTCAAGATCCAAAAACACAAGGCTGGGGAAGGAGGCTCCTAGCTTGGGACCTCTTATCCAATTCGGAAACTTTACACCTTTGTAGTTCTTGATTACCAGCTTCTCGATGCTAATGGGTGGGGTGAGCTCATCCCATATCTTTTCACTAGCTTTGGCTGATTCATCTCCCCTGCATTGGTCATTGCTTCCTTCCTGCTCTTCCTTCTCTTCTTTTTCTGTTTCATCTTCTTCCTCCAGACTCTCCTGGTTTTCTATTGCTGGGGCTTGCTCAGAGAGGTACAGGTCCTTTAGGAATGACTTGTTTGCGAGTGCAGCAGCACCAGAAATAGCCCTGTCCAAACTCTCTACATGAAGGTGCCTTAGTTCTGACAAAGCTTTAAGGTCATCTAAGTCACAACCCTCAGGAGCATTGTTATCATGACCGATGATTAGACCATCCAGATGATTGAGATGCTTCAATTCACCAACACCCTTTGGTACATAGCTTAGGGAAGTTCCCTCGAGACAAAGGCATCTAAGCTCTAGCAATGCCCTGATGGACCAAGGAAGTCTCTGTAAGCTTTGGCAACCTTGAAGGCTCAAGGTCTGCAAGTTTATGAGAAATCCAATGGAAGAAGGTATGTCTCTGACCTGAGTTCCATCAAGATTGAGGTACCTTAAATGTATCAAGTTGCCAATGGATTTCGGGAGGGCCTCCACTGCTGTATTGCTCAAATCTAATACACGCAAGCATGAAGCTGACTCGATGAGAGGATCAATTGCTCTGACAGTTGGGCTTTTGAAGAGCATCAGTGACCTTAAGCTCATCTGCTGCTTCAGTGAAATCGGACCGTCCAAGCTGTTTTCAATGTTACACAATGTGAGATGCCGGGGCTTTGACAATGAGGTGTTCAATTTCTGCTGACTATAAATTAAGATACTCTCATCTGCTATCAAAAGGTGGGCTAGTGAGCGGAGAAGATGGTGTGTTATCCAGCATCGCTCAACACTTTCTGGATCAGGCTGTAGCAGGTTTCTGCTTATCAATTCTACAAAGCACTCTTCAGCTGATTCTTCGAGCAGTTTGTTGTCTCTGGCATTTACAATTCCTTCAGCAATCCAACGCCGCACAAGATCAAAGCGCTGAATAGGGTATTCTTCTGGATACAGAGAGCAATGGAGGAAACACTCCTTCAGCTGAGAAGGCAGGTCAACATAACTCACATACACAGCTTGTGGTACTTCTGGAAGGACCGGGCTAATGAACCAAGAATCATGATTCAGAACCATCTCCCATTCAGCCTTGCTGTTGCCTCTTGACCTTAGGACACCTGCAATGACCTTGATTGCTAGAGGATGGCCATCACATTTCTCTGCGATCTTAATCCCAACATCCTTTAATGTTGCAAGCTCTTCCAAATTGCATTCTGGATCAACTTGTTTGCACAATAATGCCCAGGCATTCTCGGGGTCCATTTTGTCAACACGGTGGATAGTTGCCTTCATGCTTGCCGCCACTTCCTCATTCCGAGTTGTGATCAGTATTCTTCCTCTGGCGACACCATCTCCCAACAGATCTTTGAGCAGATTGTCCCATATGCTCGGGCTGTCCAAGTCATCCAGGACAAGGAGAAACCTTTTTGAAAGGGCAGAACCGAGGAGGATGAGGAGTTCCTCCTTGTTTTCTGTATCCCCAACATTGGCACCAGCACCCCTGATGATCATTTTGAGGAAATCTAGTTCCGATAAATCCTTGGACATGTCGACCCACACACAAATGGGGAAATTTTCAGTCACCCTGTCATCATTGTAGATCTCCGTAGCAAGCATAGTCTTGCCAATCCCCACCGCACCAACGATGGCGAACACATCCACCTTCTTCTTGCCCTCTCTAAGCATCCTTGGCACAAGGCCACCCACAGCCTTCTGGACCTGCGACCCAACTGCTTGGGGCTTCATGGCGTCAGAACAGTTCTTACAGACATTATGGCTGAACGAGTCCCTTTTTGCATCAGAGTGAACTGATCCAGCAGGAAGCCTAGGCATTTCCTCCTCTACCTCCCTGAGCCTGAGATCAATGTCCCTAATGGTGAAGCCGATCTCATGGCGGAACTTCCGAGGCCCTGAAGGCTTGAAGCAGGAGAAGCATCGGACCTTTGGCGTGGGTGGGCGGTCATCAGCGAGGATCTTTGCACCCTCGATCATGCAGACATCGATGACGTCGTCAATCTCATACATGGCGTCTTTCACCTGCACCACCCACGCATCAGCTTTGGCGCTAAGGACCCTCCTCCGCTCCTCATGGGAGATGATGGCGTCGATGAACGACAGCGTGGCCAGGAGGCCCCTGACGTCGTCCCCGATGCCGAGGGCAGCGCAGGCCTCCTGGCCGGCGAAGTTTTCCAGTGACTCTGTGCATCGCTTGACGAAGGAGTCGAGCACCGCCGCCATGGAGGCCCCCCCTGCTTGCCCAGAGGTATCAGGCCCCTGAAAAAGTAAAAAATTTCATTAGCACGCGGGCAGAAAGCTTGCTGATTTGAACGGAATCCATCATTTCAAGCAGACAGTAGCAGAATCTGGCGATAAAATCACTGATTCTTTGCAGTATTGGTTTCCAAATAAGCAAGAGCTCGGAGGCTCTGCACGGATCAGCCAAGATGAAAAGGTCTCTGGTTGGTTTCATTCATGGAATTTACTACCAGTAGTAATTAATCAACTATTGATTGGGGACGCTGATTTTGCAGAAGAAATCGTTTTTTTTTTCCTCTTTGAGAGTTGACACCGTCAGGTACATACAGGAAATTAATGCAAGAATGCTTCATAAAAAAAATCCTTGGATCATTCATGGAAGCATAGCAAAATCATATTGATCAGGTCCAGGAAAGAAAGAGGCGAGAATCATCTATCCCAATCTAATCAGATCAAGGGGGAAGAGGGAGAAGGGGCTTGCTTGAACAACAATCGACACGGAGCTGAAATAGAAAAGATGTAGAAACAGAAGAGAAAATATGACGGAAAACAAAATTGGGAAAAAAAAAAGAGGGGGGGGGGATGGATTGCCATACCTTACTGTAGGTGGGGAACGAAGGTTGTGGGGCGCAAGCAGGAAGGAGGAAGAGGAAGAGAAAGGCGATTGAGCCTAAACGTGGCGGCGACAGCGAATGCCACCACCTCGCCGGCCACCACCTTCCTCCCCTCTCCCTGTTGCTGTTGCTGTCAAAAGGAGACCTCCACCTTCCTTCCAAATGCAACAAGGAAAGGAAGGAAGGAAGAAGCTACAAAAGCCTAGCTTTTGGATCTGTCGCTGTCACGAACGGCTCAGCTTCGATGCGACGAGATCAATGATGATCCCTGATGCCGGCGACCTGGTATGGTAGGTGCGTTATTTTTGGCAAGAAGTGGAGAAACGGCGGGGATTGCCAGGGCACGTCAGGTGGCGAATCGCCGAGCCAGAGCCAACTCAGCTGAATCGGCCGACGCCATGGAAGGCAAAGCTTCAGACGGGAAGTGAGTGCTTTGTTGGTGGCGGGACCGATTTGTAATAAAATAAGAAATTTATTATAAGATTTGTGTATAAATAAAAAAAAAACATACTAGTACATAAATAAATGAGCACTGTAGATTGATATGAATTGATGTACTGGTGAAGTGGTTTTGTCTTTGGAGTGAAAACTTGCTCTTAGCTTATCATGCTTGTACCAACAATAATTACAACAAATCAGCATCAGCATCAGCCGTTTAGCTAGCCGAACAGGATCCTGTTTGTTTTTTATTAGTGATGTCGATCACCAGCAGGGATGTTAATGTTATGTTATCACTTGGACTGCAGATTATGTTAAACAACTTTTGAGGTGGCACGACAACTGGATAAATTTTAGAAAGAGATAGTAGGGTTCAGTATACAGCTAACAAAGTTCTGGTGAAATGAACAATCTCTTAAAAAACAGACAAGTTCTGGTGTGCTACATGCTACATGGCCAGGACAAGGCGTGTACAGCTAACATGAGGAAGGCAGAGGACAGCAGCAAAACCATGTATGGTGGGGGTGGGGCCATGTTCACCAGCAAATTTTGAGGAAAGAATATAACACAAGGGTCAAGGAATTTTGGTACACAAGGGAATGGATAGAGTCATTTGGTAAATCGATACTAATAAAGCAATGAGTAGGGTCAAGGTATTTAGTTAAAACAAAAAAGTCTGTTCGGCTGGGCTTATACGATGGTGGATTATAAGCTGGAATAGTATTTTTCTCTCACACCAAACCAGCCAGCAGTAAATAATCCACGACGATGAAACGAACAGGCTGAAAACTTCCATACAAAATCAATGAATATCTAGATCCATCCATAGCTTGATGTTTGTACAGTACATAATGATATTCAACTACAAACAAGAATCTGCCCATCCATACAAAATCAATGCAAAATCAGGGAACAGCAGCCCAGAGAAAAAGAAAGTATGCATTATTAGGTACTCCTCCAGGTTGTTTAAGAGATGGAATGGAATGATGCGTACTGGCAAGCCTCAACGCAACAGTTCAAAGTCAAGAATCTCTGCCGGCCTTTGTTTCTCTTGTCGGTGCCCCATCAATCAATCAATATTAAACGAGCTAAGAATTTTTTATTACCGAAATACCAGTACATTACAAGTAGAAGCTGCCAGGGCGACTACATTTATTTATTTATTAGTCCAAAGACAACATCTCCATCAACAATCCGGTCAGTCGAGTTCCACACGGCTCGAGCACGACTCTCTGTAAATAAAAGCCTCCATGTCCACCTCCAACAAGACTCCTGATAGTTCGCCGTCCTATTTTGTATCTTTTGCCGTCCTATTTTTTCTCTTTAGCAAGCAATTCTAGTCTAGAGAGAGAAGCTTTTTTTTTCCTTGCTTTTAGCAAGCAATCTAGTCTAGAGAGAGAAGCTTGTGTCAACAGTATCTGCATACTAGTGGTACTCTGCAGAATGTGACAATACTAAGGTTATAAAAGGTGGCAAACCAAACAGTCCACTACTGCTCAGCTCTTATACAAGTCAAATCCTAATTTCTTCTGCCAAAAACTAGCAAATCATTTCGGTAAACAAAGGAGCTCTGTGGCAAGTACCAAAAAAACCTTCATAATAGTTTCTATTCTATACAAGTGAAAAGTAAACAAAGGAGCTTTGTGGCAGGCACTGAAACTGAAAGAGGCCGGCCTGCAAAATGAGGGATGATACATTCACACTCAACTGCAAACCTCAAAGGAGGATGCAAAACAGATCTACCATCTTCAAAAGGTTTTGATGAAATTTATTCCTGACCTTGCGCACAAAAACCATCAGAAATTATCAAATTAAGATGAATGCAACCGCAAGACCCAAATACTACGTAAAACTCTTATGAAGAAATGGAGAATGATGGGAGCTCAAGTAAAGGTAAAAACTACAGATGCTAGAGGCTGCAATGCAAATGGTTAGTAAAGGTGGCTGCATACTATCTATTGAGTCATCTCAAAGATACACTTCCCACACAGCTTCAAGGTGCACTAACTATATCAAACATAAGACTACAACACTACTACATCAGACTTGTATACACATTGACCAAGTCACATCCCTAGCCTCTTGGTACCACACTCTGAGCAGAACTTCGATGTCACCCTTAAATATGGGGAGCCACACTCATCGCAGAACTTCGCTGGGCTGGTTGGCTGAAATCGAAAAGATACCATCAAGGCAATGAATAAATAAGGTAAGCATTAGCTAGCACGGTAATACAGCTATGAATCTACTGCAACTCCTGCAACAATGGGATGCAGCACAATGAGGATTGTGGACAGTGCAACTTATGCTCAATTGCTAATCTTTTGTTCAGTACTTGAGCCATAGCAGGTAAATACAAGATTCATCTCCAAGCCCAAGCCAATATGACTCTTTGTGAGAAAATAAAGTTCAAGTGCAAATCATGATACTCAAAAAAAGGACGAAGGAATTGATAAATGTGGCACCATGCAGTTGTTGCCAATGCTAATGAAAAAGGTTACTCACAATAATATGCATGCGTCCTCCAAGATGACCTTGCCCAACTTGCAAGCAAGATATATGCTGAGATAAATAAGCCTGCTGCTGGTGTTGGGGATTATCTGATACTGATAGATGTGGAGTGCTCGTACATTGGTGAATGGGTGGGAACTGAGTACAATGTTGAACTTGCTGCATGCTATCATCCTCGGCTTGATGGAAAAGGTGTAAAAAAGGTTGATTTTCTAGATGTTCGATAGGTCTCTTTGATGTTGACTGATGCTGATTTTGTATCTGGAACAGAGCAAGCTATGTATTAGTCAGTGAGTTGGATTGGATTAGTAGCTAAACAAGATCAAGGCACCTACTACTGTCACTTTATATAAGAAGTTACTTGATGATGCCACAACGAATAAGCTAATAAGAGCTGAAGAACCAGGAGGGCAGCAGGCAAAATCATTTGCATATGCATGTAGCTACTTGTTATTACCATGAGCGAACGCAAAAACATAAAGTTACCTCATTTGGTGAGCGGAATCCTGAAGAACAAACCAATGAAGAGTTCTCATCCTCTGCCAAAGCCTAGACAAATCATAGAGGGTTAATAACAATATATTGAAGCAAGTATATTACCTATTTTGGCTGCATTTTTACATTCTCTGAAGCCCAGTATGCAACTTACACTTGTATCAGGGATGTCAAATGCTGCCTGCGGGGAGCGCCTGATCTTATGCCGGGGTGAATAGAATTTATAATCTCTTGAGCAAATAGCAACTTCACTTCGACCAGTCAATCTTTTGAACCTTGACATTTTTTGTTGCAATATAAAAAAGGAAAACAAAGTCATTAGTACATATCAGAGGGTTTATGCGACCAAAAGAACAAGCAATGGTATCAAAAAATAAACAGAGGTTTTTCTAGGAAACTGTAATCGAATTCACTGTACTTAAGGTTTCATTTTATTGACAGTTTTCTGAATTCTTATGGTAAATTCATCCTAAACTAAATTTCAAATATTACGGGTGCAGACACCATGTCAATCTATTTTCAATGAATGGCCTTTAACAAAGAAATCGATTCTATAGATTGTCATAGTTATGCCCCTTCCCTTTGGAGGCAGATAGCTTTCAATGTGATATAGAATTATCCACATTTTACCTTAGATTTTTTTTTTGGGGGGGGGGGCAGAATTTTGTACCGTCCAAGGTAACAATTGGTCTGTCAATATGGAATGTTGACAGTGTAGCATGTGATACAAGAATATGCAATTTTGAGAATAATATGCAAACTGTTATGTGGCTGCTAGGGTTCAGGAGGGCGAGTCAAGGGAGCGGCGGCGATTGCCGTGCTACAGTACCCGCGGGTACTGTTCACAGCGGCTGTTATGCGGGGGAGGCTGGAGGCCGGCCGGGGGCCTTGCCCACGGCCGAGCAAGAGGGAAGGGATTTCCTTTTTAATTTTTGCTTGATTAGATCGATACATCTCCTCTCCTTATATAGAGAGGTTTACTTGACTCCCAAGCAAGGCTTACTTGACCCTTAAGTAAGCGACCCTTATCTCTAATTAACCCTAACACTAATGGGCTATACAGCCAACCCAGGCCTAATAGGCCCCTGACGTACTCTAACACAAACACTAGAAGAATTTGTTTGCTCGAACCACCCCCACTATCACAAATTGAGCTAACACAAATACAATCATTGTAGAAAGGGTTAATACAGGAGTTTTCAGATACTGGCCCCAGACACCAGGCCAATCTTGCTACAAGCAAAGGAAGCTAAGCAGCGAACATTGTGTGAATTAGAAGTCTTACCATTCCGCATCTTCCATTCTCATATTTTCTGGCCTCTCTACGATCGCCAATCCATTAATTACAACAAAACGAACTCGTTTTTCTTCTTGTACCACAAGTTCAGGAAACTTTGTCCTAGTTGCATGAGAAGTCGCTAACTCCCTCCTCTTGAAGCTGCAGTGGCCTATATACATCGAATCAAATTTAAGAACATAACATCAGAAAATCATGTATGGGTTAAATATTTATGTTTAGCCATCATACCTCTCTTTGGGAACCTCTGAGTCAGTTTCCTGTACAAGCCACCTGAAGCTTCAAGAGCTAGACCTATAGTTTTCTCATGGAACCCAATCAACGCCGCAAGACGCACATTGACATCACTCACCAAGGTTTCGTACAAGTTTGCAATATACATCAATGGCAAAGCAACCCTTGGGTCACCCTCATATCGAACCTCCTGCTGCTTTCTCTTGTTTGATTTACCATCCACCTGGCTGCAGTCGGAGCCAGAGCATTCCACCATCTCAATAACATGCTCACATATAAAATAATCAACAACGAGGTCCAAGAATCTAGACCTTGCCGTTTCAATAGGGATAACATCTGCAACGAGGGGGGACACACCGTTACAGCACAACTGCACAATCGTGGGAGGGAGGATGAAAAAGAATACAACAAAACAGAGCACAGGGCTGTACCTTGAGGAGTCAGGATATCAAAAGGACTAGAAGCTCTGCTGCTGTTATCAAGAGCGGACTGTCCATCGTCGACACTGACATCATGGAGGCTTATCGAGCTAGTATATGATCCATTCATGTGGTCCTAGCAAGACAAAGGAACGGTTAAATACTCAAGCTGTGACGTACAGTACAGGATACAAGCTATCTGCGGGTACATAAAAGGAAAGAAGTTCCATTTCAAGAAAACAGCCGACGGTTTTACTACATACATAATTTAAAGCAGATAAAGAACATGAGTGTACAGCCGATGTACACCCGATAACTTTTGCTAAGAGAAAACGAATGCATACACTTACACTTGTGATTAGATCAGATCTGAATACATAAAGATAGGCAAATAGGTTAAATTAGGGCTGGGGTGCTCAATTTCGCACAGGAGAAGAGAGGGGGGGGCGGGCATACCGGATACCTGGTGTAGTGGGTGCTCGCCGGCAAAGCGTCCGAGCTCCGAGGAGGACCTGAGCAGCTGGGAGTAGTAGGGCGGCCGGCGGCGGCGGTCGCCAAGGGCAGCTGGGAATGGGGCGGCGGCGTGTACAGCTCTCGCGAGTCGGGCCAGGCGAGGCCAACCGCCGCCAACGGGAACGGGAGAAGAAAGAGTTGTAAACGCAGGAGGTGGAGAGCAGTTCTTCCATGGCTATTGGGCTCATTTCTCTTTTTCTTTTTTTTTTCTTTTGCTTTTCTCCTTTTTTTTTGTCACTAACTGGCGTAGGGGTCGTTTTAAATTTGTGTTCTAATTAATTTTATTAATTTATTCACATAGATGAATATGTCATGAGAATTTTTCTCCCAAATCTGTAACATTTTTCTTTTCGTGTCTGAAATGGTCATCAATGCTTAGAAGGGTGAATAGGCAACAACCTAAAAAAATGAGAACAACTCACGGAGCCTTTTTATATTCTTCCCAATTGATAGAAATAGAGTTTTTGATGAAAAATTACTCTCTAACATCTCCTTTATTTGGATATCCAAGTATGAAATATAGCTATTCTTTATTATAGGTTTCTCGCTAGCTAAAATGGAGAAGTTGTTAGGGGGAAAAGATATAGAGGGCGGATTTTATTTAAATGATTTTCCAAATGATAATCTAGAGAGTGGGTTTAAAAAAAGAATCTTAGAGATGATCTAAGCATTAGCATGCACTCATACGGTTTCTTTATTCATGTTATAGTCAGCTCAACCCATCGATGAAGTCATCAGCATTTCACATGTCGATGGAAGATTATTGCTATTCACTTATTCATGCCACACACAATGCAATAGTATGTGGAAATCGGATTCAAAAATTGCGTGTGAAATTGTTTGAAGACGGAGGAGATCCGTAGTATTTGGTACGGTGAGAGGCGCCAAATTCATCATCAGACTGGGGACACAAGGGGATCAGATCATCAGACCCAAGATCCAGCCTTGTGCATGTTCCTCTGAGCCCAACAAAAGCCAACACGACACTGTTCGTGAAGCTATTTTCCAGGATCCAAATCTTCAGTATTTACTAATAGCATAAAAAAAAAGTCGTACCCAGTGCAGACCGCTCCCGCTCTGTACGGGGTCTGGGGAAGAGTGTTAGTGGCAAGCCTTACCCTCGCCTGTGTAATGCGAGGATACCGCGACTCGAATCTGGGACCTTCCGGTCACAGGCGGTAAGACTCTACCGCTTACACCAAAAATTGAACCAAATTCCTGAACATTTCTACAGCAAATCGTCCTCTCTTCTAAGCAGCTCCCAAGGTTGAAGTTAGAACACACGAGCATTTGCACAACCAGAGCCTCTTCCCCGGTCCTTTTCCTTTCAACACTCAGCCTCTTCAGCTTCGGCAGCAGCAATCTCTGAATCCAAGAGAGAGATGAACTGCTGGCTGACATGCTTGGCGACAGATATCATATCGAAGATGACGCTTGGGTCCAGCCCTGCACCTCCCCTCTTGGTAAGCCCGCATATCTGGCCATGCCTGTTGACTGATACCGACACTGCTGAACTCATCTGGGATTCTTCCTCTGAGTTGGCGTCAACGATGTAGTGCCGACCCACCTGACATATGATGATATGAAACATGTACAGGGCACTGAATTTTATGTGAAACATAGATACTGCAGGAGAAAAGCATAATAGGGCAATTTTTGTTGCTGGTGATGCCCAATTGCTTGCTGGGTAGTGTCATATTCTTCACGTGTCAATGAAGGGGAATTCAACTGGTACACAAATTCATACTACGATGATACTATGAGGTGTCTAAGTCTAGTGTTACATGAATAGTATTGAAGCTACTCAATATTTTGTATCATAGTCTCAGATAGCTCAAAACTCTCAAGGTGCATACACTAGAGATTGGACCACTTTTAAACACTTTGAACACAACAATCATGCAATCAATAAAGCATATGTCTACTCATACTCAACACCAAAGAATAAAGAGTTGGGTAAGAAACACATTACCTTGGTTAATGTAATAATAACAGGCACACTGGAGGTGTCGAACTGCAGAAATTCCTCATCGCTTACATCAACTTCAGGCTCCTCGTCAGATGCAGCATTAACAGAAACATTAACTTTTGGTATACCTGTATCACTCAAAGCAACCTGCATGTACATGGAATGTCAGCGCCCTACAAATGTGCTAATTGCACTGTATTGTGTCAAACTGTCAACTAATGCACTGGCTATCAGGCAGTACAACTCATAACAAGGAAATTTTGTGTTTAACATTCAGAAAAACACTTTAACTCAAACAGAATCATCTGAGGATATGCCGAGGGTTGTCATGTCACTTGACCAGACTCTTAAAACATAAAAGTGGGATTCGCAGAAGAAGAAATGCATCAGTGAATTTTGGGGTAGTAACTCAATCATCTACACAGCTCACTGGGTATTGTTAAGCTAGCACAGACTAAAAGGATCTTCTCACAGAAAGAAAGTAAAACAAAAGGAGGGGGCGTAAAGTGTCACTTTCACTCTTAACTAAAACTAGACACTGGTTCCTAACTTCAAAAGTCAGAAGGGATCACCAGATCAGAGAACCTATGTAAGAATTTAGAAATAATGTTGTGGACACATTTGTTGGCTGTGTCTATCGGCTCCAGAAACCAGTGTGGCAAACTGAACAAGCATGGGCGCGGGAAGATCAGATTAGGAGGGAGGAGATTTAGTTTAGTTGGTTAAGTTGTTATGGTATGTTAGTTGATGCCTGGATACAAAGGCATCCGTATTCATCTTTGTAATCATCAAAGAAATAAACTCCCCCGTTGCAGCGCGAGTTGTCTTGGACCATGTTGTCCCCGGCAATCACGACAACTCCTTGCCGAGTCCACTTCGCTACCCCGTGGCATCATATCACATAACAAAATGGGAATTGGTATACTATGATATGCCCTATTATGGAGTTTTTGAGGGGTGAGGGACTTTTGGATACCTGACAGCTGAGAGCATAAGGTGAAGTTATACGCTTACGCTTATACCCAAAACGAAACAAAAATTCAAGAAAATGAGATGGTGCATGCAGTCTCCATTTGAAGGAAACATCCTTTTTCTGATAAGGGAAGGAAACATCATCTTAAACAGCTGCATGGCGTTCAATATGTCCGCTGACTATCCGCACAAAGTTTGTTCTTCACACTATACATATTTGGCCTGGTTCACTGGTTATAGGCTGACGATAATAACATTTAACTAGCAAGTGATCATGTTTTCATATTTCCATTCAAGAAGTAAATCAACAGACAGAATTTTACCAAAGCTTGGTCCTCGGTGGCTGTTCAACACTGGGATGTATTCATGTATAGATCAGTTTGTGTTCCCTTGCTTGGAGACACTCTTCTGAGTTTGTCAGTCGTCGGATGAAATTATTTGAAGCTATGAATGACATTTGTCTAATCATGTCAGATAAGGTAATTAATGTGTATCATGGAAGAACCTCCATCTAATGACAGAGAAAAGAAAATTATGGCATTACTTCCATTATTGAATTTCTAATCTTTTCCATATCAGATGCCCCGATAACTGTCTATAGCGACACAGATGACACTTTTCTACCAATTCATTTGCAAAGTGGAAATTCTAGGCTCCATTCAAACAGTTGCAAGAAAAATATGAAATTTAAAACTGCAAGTAACAAGCAATACAAGTCAAAAAGTCACCTTTATCGCAGCAGCTAGTGCATCTAGCAAATTACCATCAGAACTGACCACAAGCCCATCAATGTACAGATCCCAGCAGACCTTTCCCTCAACAACAATTAGGGACGACAGATCAATTGCAGCACCTGAAATGAGAATGTTGTTACTTGACACTGACAGATGTGTTATCAATTCAATGCAGTGTAGTCAATTAAATGGCAACAAAATATTGTTGGCATAAGTTTGAATTGAAAGAAAACTGTACAAGCAAACAGATGGATAACAACATGAGGAATCAATTTCTCATTAAAGATTTCTTGACTATAACAGACAATGGGATCAGAGAGGAAGAGCTGCAACTGGTTAACACACTAATCTCTGAATGAAATCTCCCCAATAACCTGGAAATTTGAAGAACAGTCACAGATATGAAAGTTCAGCAACTACAGCGCACTAAAATCATCTTTATATGAAATGTAGGATGACTAGCAAAAACAATGGCATGAATTTTTTTTTTGTCTACGTCGTCCATAATAACACTTACAACATTATTATGTACTACACCTGCAACTAAATAGGCATGGCAATGGCAATCAACGGTACTGATATGTGAGGCCGCTCTAGTTGGTGTATCTAAGCAAACGTGCTTAATAACATATATCCAAATTGCTAGGTACAATTCACTAGTTAGCAAAAGCTTAACCTAAGGAAGGTACATCTAATTAAATGTACTACAATCGTAACGACACAAATAATGATGTCACCCATGTCCAAGTAGTAGTTATAACTGATGATAGAGAGAAACAATGAAGATATTAGGAGCATCAAACTAAAGGAGATCAGTGTACACTGACCATGTCAAATACAAGGATTTTAGGGAGGCAATAAAGTTATATCTTACCAGCACCACTTTTACCACCCAGCAAGCATCTTTGCAGGGAAACAGAGAGCTCAGCAGACAATTCTTCAGAACCTCTACCCTAGAAAACTCCAAATAAAGGAAATAAGATGTATACAAAAGTAAAACAATAGGATTTTCAATTTTCATATAGAATGAAATCTGAAAAGGAACAAAATAAAGTTTTCCTTTCTATATATATTCCTCTCTAGCAGCATCGTTTTACCAGGCAATCGGTAACCAATGTACAAAGGAAAATACTGTTTTTCTACTAACTGGAATCAAATGAGCACATCTACAAAAGGAACATATATGCAGAAGCACCTGTAAATAATAAAGGCCACTAGTAATAAAATATAAAATAACTATTATCAGAAAAACAATATGCTTCTTCAAATGCATCCCAGTGACTTCTTTATTTTTCATAGTCAACAAGTTTTTTGCTTCTTCATATTCAACGTCACATCATTAGCATTCAAACATAAAATTTCAGCAAAGTCTATATGCATAGTTCCATAGAAGATCTAAAAGAGTTTGAATAAAGTCCAGGGTCCAGACCACAGTGCCAAACATTGGGTATATGATGAACACAAGTAATGTATCAGACTGTTGGTTATTTTCTTTTGATCCAGTCACAGCAAATCACCAACCTCAAACATAGGCTCAGCGGTTGGACTACAGTCAACAAAAATGGAAACTTTTCCTTTGTCAGGGTGAAGAATGCTTGGTTTTCCAAGTTCAGCCTGCAGATGCCAACCCGTCAGAATCAAAGAAAGTCAGATAAAATGACACGGTGGAGGAGGTACAGCACACTATTTGTAACGACTTTATTTTATCGAGTTTATCTAAGTAGTAACAATATCAACAGACAGATAGACACCAACTTGTTGACTCTCTAGCGTGATGTTTATTGTTACTCAAAACGGCCCAAACAAAACTAGCATTGTGATTTCAGAGTTCACAGCTTAACATAACAAAATCGAATTAAAGCATTAGCTTTGCAACATAGGTGCCTAATGCTTAGTAACTCTGATGTTCCCAAGACAGTTATTGATTGTTACTTGGAAGCTAAGTCGAGAATAGAAGATGGCGTACAGAGGATTGAACGAGACATAGAAAAACATTCGCCTTGCCATATTTGCAGCAAAATGCTAGTGAGGACAGACTCTTACCTTGACGCTAGCAATTATTTCAGTGGCCCCCAATCTAACACGCGCTGAGCCATTCGCCTGTAACAACCACCAATCCGAAGTAACATAAAACCGGAGGCGCTGGGGCATTCCAGAAAAGAAGGAAAAGTGAAAGGCATGCGGATGCCTGCCCCAAACAAGTTGTGAAACCTACCTGTGGAATGACTCCAGTTTGGACGGAGAGGGCCCGGAACTGCAGTCGCTTACGTCCATCAGTGCGAAGGTCCTGCGTAATGCCGCCGCGGATGAAGTGCTTCTCCCCTTCAGAGAGACCCACCATCGTCCTGGACACAGCGGGACAGAAACGAACACAACCGGTGTCAGAGGCATTTCGTCGAACACCTAGACTGCTACGCAGTTAGGCCTCGTAACTGGATCACATCCCAATACCAATAGCCAAATAGCTTAACAAGTTAGGTCTCGAGAACTCGTGAGAAGAGGAGCGCATACGTAGTGGATGCTCGTCGCCGGCGAAGGGACTGTCGAACGGGGCACCTGACACTGACCTGGCCTGCCCACAAGAGACGAGAGAGGGCAGGGGTGAAAGGCTGAAAGCAGAGGACCTGTTTTTGTTGGGAAGTTTTGGCCACCCTACCGAAAAGAAACAGTCATGGCCCAATTGCCATCCTTCTAAAATTAAGTTCACAGAATTGCAAACCGGTGCCCTAAATTTCTTCTAAATTTGCCACTGTGTACTACTTTAAATAAGTGCCAAGTCACCACTTTGCCCATTGTATTCACAGCTTCTTTTTTTTTAAAAAAGAAAAAAAACTTCATATTGAGCTGAAATCGTAAGATTAATTAATGGTATGCGTCACAGCTTCTTTTCAAAAGACGAAATGCATCGCTTAATCAGGTATTCATCATTTGTTAATCACGTATCCATCATTTGTTGATTGGTGACGAAGACAAAAGAAACAAGGGCAGTTCTAAACTAATTACAAGTGTAGACCTATAATCCGTGTCAAATGTCATATATAATAAGGTAATTTTTCACAGATACTCTTTTCTTTTTCTTTTTTCTTTTTTGGCAAAAAGAGGCATCATCATAGTCCAAGCTATACATACTTCAACAAAGGCACTAGCACCAGCCTGCCACAAGGCCAAGACACAGAACACAGCTTCAGAACTACACCAACATGGTGATCTAATTTAATCATGTTGAAGAAACTTCATCACCAGAATAGAAAGTTCACAAAGAACAAAATTTTGTCCAAGAACATCTTGTAACCATGGAAGCATTAGATTATTCTAAGTATAAATGTGTGATCCAGCAAGAATCCATTATTGCAAGCCCAGGCTTAACAGCAAGAGCGCAAGGTCAGGAGTAGCCCTGCTTTTATGCGCCCGATTCTTATACAGACATACAGATAGGCTCCAGAACAGGTCTACACGGTCAGTTCCGTCCTTGAGACAAGAATGCCATCCGTATCGGCGTAGAGCCACTCGCCGTCACAAATCCTGGTTCCAGCAATGTTGACGGGGACATGCTTCTCCCCCATTCCCTTCTTGTTTGCCTTCATAGGGTGCGAGCTCAGAGCTCGGACACCAATGTCGCAGCCATTGATCTCATCGACATCCCTGATGCAGCCGTTGACCAGAATACCAGCCCACCCATTGTTCTGTGCCTGCTGGACGGGGTTGCCACCAAGAATGGCACAGCGCATGCTCCCACCACCATCAACCACAAGGACCCTCCCCTGGCCTTTCTCCTCAAGGAACTCGCGGATCAGAACATTGTCCTCGTACACCTTCAGTGTGACAATAGGGCCGGCAAAAACCTGGCGCCTTCCGTAGATTTGGAAGATGGGCTGGAGAGCACGGAGCTCGCCGTTCATAATCAGATGAGGATTAGCATCGCATACTTCAGCGGTGGCCAACGGCAAGGCAGCCATATTTTAGTTTTACTACTCCTGCTGTCAAAAGAAGACAGGAAAATAAAACGCTGAGTAAAATGAATCAACAGAAGCAAACCATTGCATGGAAAGCAATAGCAGACATTCTCCAAAGGAGAAAAAAAAAACCTTTTGAATTGAACATTTAAAACCAGTAGAAGTAGGACAGCAATACGACGGTGTCCTAAATCTGAATAGCAGCAGTATAATGAACACCACGAGATAGATTCCTCGTCACTCAACTATTAAAATGATGTGTAGTTTGAGAACCATTTTCCTATTATTACTGCATCGATTCGGTCAGGGAGCATCAACCCAGAGAAACATAAGACAATCAGTCTTGGATGAAAACAATCAACCACCATAGTAGCCTTCTGTAACGGAAATGTCCATCCAGACATGTCTGTGTGACTATTTTACAGTACACTCTATGTATCCGTCTACCTTTGGCTCACATTTACATACAGAGCTGAGCTGCTGGGTTCCATGAAGCTTGAGCCCCCAAAGGCCAAAGTGGAAAGAAAACACAAGATGTGTGCCTCAGCCCAAAAGCTGAGAGCGAGCTCTGAAACAGGTAATCTGCTAACAGGCTGGATCGTGATTTTGCGAATCCGAAATTATAACTATGGGGGGCGGGATAATTATGTAGGACTGGAGTGGATAGGAAAAGGAATAGGTCTGTTTACATTCATAAATTCTTACATTAGTTAGCGGAAAAATTGCTACCTTGGATCTGTCTGATTAGATAATACAGTTCGTACTAGAATCAAAGGGCGCGTCTAATATAAACTCTAAACAACAAGGGACAGTGATAGCGATAGGATAGGGATCAGGATGACTCACCACCAGCACGAGCACAAACGGATCGGATCGGATCGGATCTCCCGGGAGGAGAGGGGAGCGGCGTCAATGGAGTGCGGTGGGGACGTGGGGTGGAGGATCGGCCGGATCCGGCAGGCGGAGGCGGTGGCGGCAGGGAGAGCAGAGCACGCCACACGCCAGGGAGGGTAAGATGAGAGCCCTCCCTTGGGATTTGGGAACTGAGGTGAGGGGACGTGGGGTCAGGGGTGTGGGAGTGGGAAGCCAGACCTTCCCTTCCAACAAGTGACAGCGACAGCGGACGCCGCACTGTGGTGTTCTAGCGATCCTCCACAGTGCAGTCATGCTCGCACGATCTGACATGGAATCCATGCTCCCACCATGATTTGGCGTGCCAACTCAATTAAAAAATAGTAACAATGTAGTGTTTATTCTCTCTCCGATGATAACAATGCAGATTTCCATGTAAAAAATGACAATCGGAGAGTTGGGATCGAGTGGCAAAGAGTTAAGGGTTAATTGAAACCATACGCCGCTACAAATGTCACTTACAGAAAATCTACCATTACTATTCACGGTATCGTAAACATGGCATTACAATTGTCATCACATCTGAAACTTGCAATTTTGTACGCGTGACTTCCCCTTGGACCCATTTGCATTCTGTGGGCACCTCTATGTTGGCGTCAATTGTTCGGGCTTCACTTGAATGTTGCCTTTAGTTTCTTACTTGTTTTCAGGGTTTTCAAAGGTCCTTCTTTGATCTTCCTTTGAGGTGTTAACTGCTTGATCTCTGCCCTGGCCTACCTCAAGTCCATCCTTTGCACCCTTGGAACTACCTTCTATACTATCAAACATTGTTAGTTCCATTAGTTATATTATTATCACTCAATCACCAAATCACTAGGACCTTATTAGGGTCCATTTTTCTTACATTTTTTTTTTCTGAATCTCAACTCTTTCTAAAACCGGACTTTACTCAAAACATTAATATATCGGTTAATCCATTCTCTTCCAAAATAAATAAATAAAACTTCAATAATAAGAAGTACTATAAATATATTTTTGAATACGTAAAATGTATGTAATTGACTAGCGATCCATGAGTAGGGAAAATTTTTCTAATTATTGAAGTTTTATTTAATATATTGGTCCTTCTTTAGGGAGTTTTATTTTGAGGACATGCTATTTGATTCAATCATGACGTAGACACTTTGCTTTCATTTGCTTTGTATCCCGGTTATTCCTTCTGCATTTTGTACTGTCAGTGGCAAAAACAATCTGAAAGCCAAAAAACTTCATGAATGTTGTACTGTGCATATCCGCACTAAGACATGTCTACACTTTTCTGATTTAGGCACACCCAGTACTCTACTATTGTTTGTTCCGAGTCGTGAGTTATCATTTGGATGAATTACATGATGTGCTCCTTATTACGTCATATGTATCTCTTTGAATTTTTGGAGTGTGCACATGATTGCAAACTTAAATGCAATGCTCGGCATGATTTGGCACTTGGCTATATCAGCCAAAATCCAGTAGAATAAAGGTACCTGCCAATTTATTCCTTGCTTTCTATTGATCTTTCAAGAAAGCCTAGGCACACACTTATGTCACTATGCACTCCAATGACTTACTCAGGATGTTTCTGGAAGCCTATCAGTAACCTGTGTGGCTGCATGTGTTTCTGTGTGAAGTCAAACCATATTTCAATTTGTCACTATTATATACTTTATCTCAAGAACTGATATCAAACCGTGCTGCAGCTCGTTCGAATCATACACCACGGTACAACATCGACAGATCATTATTGTAACTCTAAAGGCGATCTCTGGTTTCAAATTCAAAATCACATATATCTTATCCTCTAATTTAATTACTTTTTGAGAAACAAATGGATTTGGAAATGATGGCTTCACACCAAGTGCATGACAAAATGCCTTGATAGAATTTGGAAATTTTGGTTTCACACCAAGTGCATGAGAAAATGCGATGATGGAACATATGAACTTGAAGCCTTAACTGATTCATAGAACTGAGAAGTAGACTTTCTTATGTATATAATTTTAAAGGGATTCACAGGAACACATTGTACCATTTGTTGATTTTGGCACCCCTTATGGGTTGTTAGGAACTTGTGGAAGTTTGCAGAATCTATATTGTCACTTAGCTTTTTACGGTTGCAACTTGGTTCCAAATATTTCGATAATGTTTTTTTTGCTACCTTCTTGAACTCGGAGTTCTGCTTGTTGGACCGAGTCTTGTTGAAAGCGAGGGCAGGGGTCCTAATCTGCCGTCATCGACGCCGTTGCCACTCCCAAAGTTATTTGAACCATCCATACACGTTTTGTCAACTTTACTTTCTGCTTTGCATAGGAGGAGTTTAAATTTTTGACATATAAATAGCAGTCATATACGGCCTTCTCGTACTCCAAGCTTCCTCCATGGTATGGACATAAAGTGACTTATGCTATTCGAATTTTCGATCATGCGGCTACTCTCTGGCTGTGCATTGGTTGATTCCATCCCATCACAAAAATAGTGTATGCATTTGCATTTGTAATTTTGGATTGGACGGTGTTTTACTATATGTTTTTTTTGGAACCCCCATTTTCCTTCCTAAGCAAAAACACACATATAAAAACACTCGTCCAATCCAAAATTAAGGTCCTCTCTGATTTGCATAGTAGCAGAAGCTCTGAATTTTCAGCATTAGTTACTTATGGAGGGAGAGGTCATGCTGCTTAAGTATGTAGTATTCAGAAGTATGTTCAATTGCATTTGTGAACTATTTAGCTATCTCCTTCTTACCTGTCTGGTTGGATGCACAATATATCTGCATGCATATTGCTTTAGGGGTTTTAGTATCTGAGACTCATTCATTTTTCTAAAATAATGTGACTGTGATATGATTCATGTTCAGTTGATAAGGAAATATATAGAATCAGTGTTTTGATAAACTCCACCTAAATGTCTACAAATTTGCATTTCCATCTCTTGGCCATTTTTCCTCCTTATGGGAAATTATGAACTCCTTTACGAAAACAAGATGTAGTTTGCAGCACCAATCAAGACTGCATTTCACTGTTTGCAAACTCACAGGCGTCTAAACTAATTCAGCTATTGATTCCGTGTCTTTACTTTCTAATAATTCAGTTATTGACTAATTCAGCTATTGTGGATAGTGACAATGCAAAATAGTGCCTCTCCTGCACCATTGGGTGACAAGACTAACACTACTAATGGAGGTAACCAAAATAAAAGGGCAATTATTATATTCAATTCAACGTATTGTTTCTATTATATAAATGATAATCAATAGTATATAGATGTAACACTACAGGAAGCGATGTTGAACAACACAGGAGAGAAAGAGACAAGGCTCGATGGCACGCAATGTCTCAAGAGAAAAGGGACGAAAAAAATAAAAAAACGTCGAGAAGCATATAAAAGAAAAACAGAGCAACAAATACGTATCGAAACTACCAATGGTTGTATAGTAGAAACGTTGGTGAATAATGATATAGATATTACTATTGATGTTACTCATATGTGCTGTGTCACAATTGGTAGATGGTCAGGATGCATCAAACAAGGAAAATATGGATCCTGCTGAAACAGATGATTGATTGCATAGGAATGATTCACCCCATGCAATTAATATTGATGATATATTCAATTGGTTATCAGGTAATTCAACTGTTGTTAATATGGCATCAACGCCTACATTCAGCCTGTTCGCTTGCTCGTAAACGATCGTAAATTTCCAGTCGGTAACAGTGTTTTTCTCTCACACCAAATCAGCCAGCAGTAAATAATCCACGATACGATACGGCCTCCCGAACAGGCTGATTATCTTCAACGCTATGTTAGTCTCACAAACCAAAAACAATGAATTGTTGCTTATTTTTCCTCTGTCTGGGTGAAGTTATTAACATCGTACTGGTTTCTTTATTTCAAATAAATTAGTTTGAATTATGTGTTTTAATGTTAACTATTTGTGATGACATGAGATTCTACATATATTTTACTCATGTGGTTGTACGTCATGAGATGTTTTACCCGTAGTAACACCCGGGCACTCAACTAGTATTATGTGGTAAACAAGGCTACTGGACCAAAATGGACAAACCTGTGGAAGAAACACGCTACTGAAATTAGGTTCAGCATTTTTGTTCTGGATGAAGTTAATCTTCAACTACACAGGGTCAAGCACACCCCAGATATTCAATTTATTTATGGCCAAGTTCAATTAACTAGCTTGTGTGCCTCGCATGTACAGATTTGTCTTCCTTTCCTTTAACTCTCTTCCTCTTTTTTTTTAATTAATAAAAATAAATTGCACAGTAGAGGTCCCCCTACTGTATTTCCCCTAAAAAAAGGTTCTGCAAACAGCGCAGTCAAACAGTGAATGAGATGATCAGCTTAAATGACACGAAATTTAACTTTAGAAAAGTGAAATGGCCAAGGGCGGGAAAAAAACAGAAGCTAGCTAACATGATCTTTCATGTGCATTCCACAGCCCTGCTCAAGTTCCACACACATTCTACCTTCTCCTGTTACAACAAATCAAGGCGACTACAGCAGACCCAAGTTCAATCGAACACCAGCAAACTACATGACGTTCTAGCAAAGCCGGCCAAAGTCCAAGCCTCCCATGTCCTGACACCACAGAATGATGCATCTCAACCAACTATTCATTGAACTATAGACAGCAACTCAGCATCTTGCACATCTTAGGTGGGCTGCGAGGCACGAGCCCGTGCCACCGCTCTCTCCAAGGCCTTGAGCCTGTTGGCCTCCATGCGCGCCTTCTGCTCCTCAGTGAGCTCAATCTTCGCCGGCTTGGGGCCATCGCTGGCTGCTCCATCCTGGGGTTTCTGCACCATCGAGTTAACTTCTTTTGGAGCCGACGGCTCTGGAATCTCTTTATTGGTTCCCTCACCAGCCGGGATCCAGGGTTCCTATTGTACATCAACAGCAGTTCACAAGTTCAGGCAAGTCCGAGTGCATTGTATAGTAGCTTATGGCTTGTCAAGGATGAAATAATTAGAGTAGAGGGAATACACTTACATCAGCTGCTTTTTCATAGATTTCATTAAGCAAATCTTCTTCCATGGGATCCACATCGTTGCTCTCCATCGGTTGATCTGCATCTCCTTGCACTGGGTCAGTGACATGGTTGTCTGACAGCGGAGCTTCAGTGCCGAAAATTGGGTCTTCAGGTGCAGTTCCATCTGCAACAGGGGTTACACAATCACTATAGTGGGCGCAAACATTGAAGGAAATGCAGTTCTGGTGGAAGTTTACCACTTATCCATGCACGTTGCTAACAAAAACATAGAGCTCGTACCAGGTTCACCTTCTGGCATGTCTTCATAAATTGGCGGTTCGTGCAGAAGTGTAGGATCACCCCCTCTGGCAACCCTGTCCCTCAGTTCAGAAACACATCTCTAATGAACAATGCAAAAGAACACACATGTCAGAAATAACAAGGTCACGGCAATGTCCAACGAGAAAGAAAATGTTGACTTTCTGGTGAGAATGGTGATCATGCGTGCAAACAGAAGAACATATGGCTTTGCAAACCAGTTTTGGCTAGCAAATCAATGGCGCGTGAGTTGAAATCTTCGTTGGGCCCAAAGTCTAGCCATCAACAGGTCACACTTGAAATAACAGATTTTACGCTTGAAATTTTCATTTCATTAAATAAAGAACGGCTCAGTGGCATGTTTACCACAAGCATAGTCTTCTTTTAACAAGGGCAAAAAAGATTGATCCCTCACAAAATAAAAGGAAAAGGAAAGAACAAAAAGACTGATGGGAATGGATCTTTCTAAACAGTCATGGCATGAGCATAACAGGTTGTCTTGTTTAACTATTTATTAAGGTGCTTTCCTCAACAGTTTGAGACCTCGATGTCAATGTGTTGCTAAGCTCTGGAATTTGGCTCTGTTGTCTTTCTTGTGACAGTCCTCTAGATTCATCCTTGAGATTTATAATTGGTTGACAACAAAGTGCAGGTAGGAGAAATTAAATTAAGTACCTGAGCTAACACTACACCAACTTTAGGTCTTAATTCACTCTAGTCTGTTAATTTTATTTGCAAGCACAGGGAATCAATGGCTCAAACCAAAGCAGATAGCTTACCCTGACGCGGTTGCCGGCACCCAATTTCTCAACTTTGTACACAAACTGTTCAAAGGAGTAGTAAGGGATCAAACGAGAGTGCCAGTCCGCGTAGAGCTTGATGAGATTGCCAAGGTCCTCCACCTGAGACCAAGTCATTCATGAGATAAGGAACTAGGAGGTCAGAGGAGAACAGAATAGACACAGATATCGTGGTTGTGAGATGAATCGAGTCAAACTGCCTCCTAATGTCCGTTGTTGTTATTCATGGATGGATTCGATTGAAATTGATGGTCCCCGAAACTGAACAGATGCGTTTGAAAGGAAACGGAAAAGAATGAGTAGTAGTACCTCATGGCCTGGGCGGGCGCGGGGTTTGAATGCCTTTGGGAAGTAGCGGAGCACGAAGCCGATGCCGCCGTCGGAGAGGAGCAGGTCCGGCGTGAGCTTGGGGCGCGTGGCCCTCTCCTTCTTCTTCTTCTTGCCCTTGCCGTCCTGCGGCTGCGGCGGTGCCCCACCGTCGGTCCCGTCCCCGTCCGGCGCCGCCGCCGACGCGGAAGGCCTGGGCTTGGCGTTGAGGCGGGAGGGGGCGGAGGGATGACTGGGGTTGGTGGGTGCGTCGGCGTCGGAGGCGGCGGCAGGTGCGGAGGAGGAGGGGCAGTCGCGGGACCAGTGGCCCGGGCGGCCGCACTTGAAGCAGCCCGTGGGCGCCGCCGCGGCCATGGCTGGGGCTGGGGAAACGGGAACTGGGGATGGATGGGTGGGTGGATCTTGCTCCTGGCCCTGGGCAAGGGGAAAGGAAATAATGGAGGGTTTTTGGCGGGAGTCCAGAGGCGAGATGGCGCCAAGAGGAGGAAAACCCTAGTGAGGAAGAGGCAGCCAAAAAAATACAAAAATATAAAACGGGGGCATTCCGAGAATTGAACTCGGGACCTCTCGCACCCTAAGCGAGAATCATACCACTAGACCAAATGCCCTTGCGTGTTCTTTCCTTCTAATTTCTCTATTTTATCATAGTGGCACTGTGCTACATCAGACCTCAATGTAAAATTCGACCAAAGTATCATCGAGTTTGTGGCATATGTACCGACTTGTTCCCTTCTGCTATACTATAATATACTCACGAATGCATCTCAATTAGCTTTTGGCTTCTTCTAAAGGACACACTTAGCACTAAAGAATTAGTAAAAAGAAAGAATATGGAACTACATGATTATAACTGTGCATTATGCATTATTGATCTTTTGGAAGAGTCTCTCTCGCATCTCTTCATTCAATGCTCGTTTGCATTAGAATGTTGGGCATGGCTACCAATTCAGGTGAATCCTTACTCCGATCCTTACCTATGAGAAGTCATAAGTCCTTTTCTTCATGAAAATAACAATTCTCATGTGTCGGGCAGTCTAGAAAACAAGAAATGATCTCCCCTTCCACCAAATCCAAACGTCGACACTGGCATCTAGGAGAACTTTCAAGTTAGAAATTGTGATGTTACTTTCACGCACCAAGAGAAGCTGCTTCCCCTTATTTGACCAATGGCTAAACAAACTAGCTTAATTTCTCTAGTTTGGTTAATATTTTTTGTTTCCTGAATGTTTTCTCTATATAACACTTTTCCACAAACTACTTGTTTATTTTTAATATGTCTTAACCAGTTGGGGCTTGCCCCTCTTGATTTCCTCAAATACTAGCACAAAACAACATCGCCTAGCATGTCGATACCTAGGGCGCATCAACAATACAATAGGGGAGGAAAGGTAAAGGATTGAGATCTGTCCCTTAAATGTCATTCAGCAAGATTTATTGACCAAATTAAATAGCTATGTCGTTTACAAGCATATTCATAATGAAACAAGGGGGTTTATCAACATGCCCTTTTAAGAAAAAGGCTTATCTAGCTAGCTCATGGGCTACACGTGAAATTGTCAATTGTCATAATGCTCAAATGTCCCCAGTATCAAACCCATCCCAAAAGATGCTACAATCATCATAGATAGCAGTTGGTTTGAATTGTTTTTTTCAACAAATGGGTTCAACAATCCACCAATTAACACTAAGTCTTATACTCTTATTATAAGCTCTATCGTCCATCAACCGGGGTTATAAGTTCATAAATTTGAAATTTGAGTGTCAAGATTGCTATTTTCTTATTTCTATGTATTTTTTTTTTAAAAAAGCTCAAGCAGTATTGAATCAGTGATTAAAGAAAATGTTAACAGATCTGTGTAAGGGGAGCTTGTGGCCATATCTCGTGCCCAACAAAAAGAAAAGAAAATGCGTGTAGCCAGCAGGCCGGCGAGCTTTGATTTTTTTTTTTTTTTGGTTTGGCTGTATCGATAATATCCATGGCAGGCTGGGTGCAAGCAGATGCAAGTTTTTGTTGGTTGGAGCCGTCGCGCGATGCACGTGATGCCTCGTGTCACTACCGTCGTACGTGTCCTTGTTTAATGAATTGATTAAACGAAACGATCGCTGAAATAACCTTGCTTTGCTGTCTACCGATGATGGGATACATATACAGCAGCTTGAGATGCATGGATGGCAGTATTATTACATATATTTACATATACGACAGATGGTGAGATGCAAGGACGATAGCATGTTGACATAAACGATAAATGCAGATTGGGAAACTATACATTTGATTGATTGCATAGGAGTGCATGGCCTATATGACAGAGCTCCACTCCCTTATTCTTGATTTAGTTTTTTGGTTCCCGATTTTTTTATGAAGTGATTCTGACGGAGAGATAGAACGAGGAGCATGTGAGAATTGATACCGATGAACATTAAATTAAATAGTGAACAGTGAAAAATAGCTTCCTATTCTTACTGTAATACGACGTTACAAGGAGAAGTAATTCTTATATATAGAAACTCCATAGAAAAAAGCACTGCCAAACGGCCTCATCATACATGTATAGTGCTGGTAAACGACGTTACCGGGAGGGCATGCGGTGGGCACTAGGCAGGCATGTGCTGCATCTGCTCGCATACATGTGTTTTCATTCCTATAATAATAAATAATACAACTAATATAGTGTTTGATTCCTTGGTGGAGTACGTATATGGAGTAAGATCAGATGGTGGCCTCGCTCGTGGCGTGGGGTCACTGCATGTCCGCATCGCATGGTAAGATGAATGAGATTCAGATCAGATCAGGTCAGGTCACTGGGTCACCTAAGCGTAATGCTGCATCCATCATCATCCAGATCCGATCTCGTCCTCTCCTCTCCTTTTTTTTTCTCTGGGCCAGCACAAAACACACACACACTCTTCTCTGTTTGTCTCACAAACTACTAAAATAAAACGCTGTTGACAGAGAATGGAATGGACGAGGTTGCCCCTTCATCCTTCCATGTCCTGCTGCTGTCCATGGACCATGGCTGCCCCTGCCAAGTACGGTCGTCCTGCCTGGGCAAGTGGAGGCGTGGCCTTTTTTTTTGGGACCGGTCCATTCTCTACTCCAACACTGAATATACTGAGTGAACGGGCCGTTCCATTTGACATGGCTTAGGAGGATAGAGCTCCTCTTAATAGACCGTTTGATATTAAGGCTCCTTCGAAAGAGTTAGGAACCGGAGCCGAAGAAAAGCCTTACCAAACAGCCTCTTACTTCGGCTCTAGCTCTACCTGCAAACGACACTGTACCAAAATTGAGATCCTAAAACCAACTGCTTGGTGACTTGTGGTACGTGGTGGTGACACTAGCTTTTGGATTTTATATCGGCTAACCACTTAGTCTTAGGTGATTGTACTTGAAGCCGAAAGAGCTAGGACCAGGAGAAGCCGTGGCAAATAGAGACCTGGTATGTTCCGTTCGTTTGGACTTGTTTGGCTTATAAGCCATGTGTTTACACCGAAATATGGAAGAAGGGTCTCAGGGGCTAGAGAGCTCCCAAAATCATGTCAGCAAGAGATTAATTGCGTGCAGATCGGGAATAGCTGATTCGGATGCAAGAGTTGGAATCAGCTTTCTTCAGATAACGATGGAGGCTACGTTCGGCGTCAGGACGAGACATGTTGGACTCTACGAAAAGGAAAAGATTAGAGTCCAAGTTACCTTAAATTAGAAATGTTTTCTTTAAGGTTAGAAAACTGTAATGAGTCGTACTTAGACAGAAGTCATACGCAAATATCAAAGCCCCGGCTATTGTAAAAAACGCAATCAATCAAATACAAGTCAATTACTTTTTTTGGCTCCGGCCACCCCGTAGGAGTAGGAGTATAGTAGATCTCAGTGAGTTCTTCAGCAAGTACGGCTGCATCGATCCGGTCGACCTCCACTGCTTGTTGTAAGTACCGTCATGGTTTATACCTCTGTTCATATGGCTGCATCGATTCGATTGACCCCCACTGCGACTCTGGTATAGGCTAGTTATCGACTCTTGCCTAGTTCAAGTATGGCCTATATGATTCTGCCTCACACCCCACTGCTTGAACTAGATCAGGGTCAAGTTATCGGCTCTACCTTTGGATGGCAGTCTTTGGTAGATTCATTAAGTTACCGATATTGCTTATTGCTTTCGTTGTTTATCTAATTACAGCAATATCACTCTGCCCGATTGAGATTGATCTGGATCGGCCTTATACCTTATTTAACTCATCGTTTGCTAATCTAAAACTGATCTAATCTATATCTTAAACGATAGGTTATGTTTTTATCGGCTGGTTTATATCAATCTTAATCGTGCATAGTGTGCGGTTAAGGCATGTTCGATCTTGAGTAGATCTATTGGTTAGCGAGAGACGTTCAATGGCCCGTTATCATGGCCTGTGGGATTCTGCCTCTCACCCCACTGTTAGCACCGTGGAGTGGGGATCGTTAGTCGATAGATCCGTTCCTGAGAAGGCGTGACCTTAACTGTGCGCTATGCCTGAATCGGCTATTTAGCCGATATCGAATGCTTTCACGAACAGTTCACATCACGAGGTCATTGAAGTAGAGATAAGTTGAAAGATATGTTAGCCCCATGATCTTATTATTATATTACGGCATGTATGATTCTGCCTCATGCCCCACTAATATTAGTAATGAGTTAGGGTCGTCGAGTCTATCGGTGTTTCTACGACCTGCATGATTCTGCCTCATGCCCCACTGGTCATGGTGATCGATGAGATCTAACATGTTCATTAGATTTATCTTTATTAAATGATTAAGTGGTGTTGAATTATTTTTTTATATAAAAAGGGGTTCGGTTACTTGTAATCATTGGCTCGGTTTAAACCAATCATCATCGATATCTTATTGCCATTGATTAAATTATTGCTCGAATTATATCTATCTTGGATAATAAACGATTTTTCTTACACAACCCCATGAGCTTTAACTAATTTATTCTTATGAATATGCCGGAATCGACTATTTAGTCGATCTCCTCTCATATCGGCTCTCAAAGCCGCACATTCGGGACTATCTGGCAACACCGGCATGTTCCGCCCTTAATTACTGATAGACTTTCTCTCCTTGTTAGTTGCAGGGTCAAATTGACTGGCACGTCTCGGGAGGATTACGCAGGATCGACCACCCTTGCGCTGAAGTTAGGTGGATCTGCTCCATCGAGCGGACCCTTCCGGCTTGCTGCGTGTGTCCTCGGTACGGAGACAAAAATTCTGTGTCGACACACGTTTCTGGCACGCCCGGTGGGACCCCACAATCGTCATGGCGGTTCACAATAACGACAACATCCTTATGGTATATTATGAAGACCTACCTGATGAAG